GTCTGTTGGCCATCAACTTCCTGCATAGTCTTTGAGTTCATAAAAAATGGAAACTAGAAAGTGAGAGCTTTTAGTTTCTAAAAGGTGAGAACTTAGCTTTCTGGAAGAAGAGGACTAAACCTTTCAGAGGATGAGAACTTAGCTTTTTGTAGCGTTTCCCACAGATGACGCCAATTGATGGATCAATTTTTGGTGATGTATCAATTTTTTGTGCTAAGTACCTTGTCATATGGTCTGCTTCCAAGTGGCCGATGACTCAAAGGCCGAAGTGAACTTTTGCTGGATGAGGACCTGGATGTTGAGCTGACCAGGCCGAGCTGGGGCAGATTAGGTGTCGAGTTAATTGGGTCGAGCTGGGAAAGTTAGGTGCCGAGCTGATTGGGCCGAGTTAGGCAGGTTAGGTGACGAGCTGACCAGAGTGTCGAGCTGCCTATTAGGTGCCGAGCTGACTAGAGGGCTGAGCTGCCTATTAGTTGCCGAGCTGACCAGAGGGCCGAGCTGCCTGGTGGTGAGCTGGATTGATTGTTGAGCTTCGTAGTTCTTTAGAGACCTGAAAGGAATCAATGTCAAAGGATCCGAAGTGGCTAACCCGGCGAGGTTGGTCCGATGCTTAAGTCAGTACTCTCATAGTAGATAGCGAGCTAAAAATCACAATGTATGAGAGCTAGAATATGCTTATTTGCCCCCCTATGTCATTGGGGTTGGTGCCTTTATATAGGCATAGTTTGGTGTGGGCTTCACGCACCGCATCTGAGATTTTTGAGAAGTCATCTAAGTGATCCGAGATTCCCTGAGGCAACCGCCATGCACGTTGACCACCCTTCGGATTGTTCGATACGTGGGCCAACTTCCAAGGATCGTGGGAACTCTCGCAGGGCGCCAGGTCGACGTCTGTGCCAGGCCGCCAATTCGATGCTTATGCCAGGCTACCAATTCACGCTTGGGCTAGGCCGCTAGTTCGCGCCTAGGCCAGGCCGCCAGTTCGCGTCTGGGCCTGGTTGCTAGGTCAGCGCCCGTGCCAGGCCGCCAGGTCGCGCCTGGGCCAAATTGCCAAGTCGCGTCTGGGCCAGGCCGCTAATTCGCGCCTAGGCCAGGCCTCCAGTTCGCGCCTGGGCCAGGCCTCTAGTTCGCGCCTGGGCCAGGCCGCCAGATGGGACACCATCAACTTGGCTTAGACAAATTATTGCCTAAGTGGTTCCGGGTATCACCTACTTGTTCCGAGGTATCATATGTCACAATATCATTGAAGGGCCAAATCCACCTAATAGTGCACTCTATAAATTTAGTTTTTTTTAAAATAAAGAGAAAAGGGTGTGTCACTCTCTTGTTTCTTGGCAAGGCAGTTAATAAATATAAAATGTCACCGTTTCGGCGCTGCTTTTCTTCCGATTTCCGATTTCACCCAATTCAAATTAAACCTCGTTATTATCAATTTATCATTAACAAAGTAGTCATTTTCCTCCTATAAATACCCACAAATCGATGCGTATGAGCACATCTTCATCTATTCTCCACGGTTCAACTTTCATCTCTCTCTCTCTCCCCATCCCTCTCTCAGAAGATAGAGCCAACAGAAAATGGCAAAGCAGAGCATAACATTTATTCTTTTACTTCTCTTCGTCTTGTTGTATCGAACATCAGCAGGTTCAGTCTACAATGTAATCCAGTTGGGGGCCAAACCAGACGGACAAACTGACTCAACGAAAGCTTTTCTCAGTGCTTGGTCAGGGGCCTGTGGATCAGCCAGTCCGGCCATGATCTACGTCCCAAGAGGAAGGTATCTGCTCAAACAGGCCACCTTCGGTGGCAATTGCAAGAACTCCGCCATCACCATTCGTATCGACGGAATCCTCGTCGCTCCTTCCGACTACCGTGTCCTCGGTAACGCCGACACCTGGCTTATGTTCCAGGGCGTCAACGGCGTCACACTCAACGGAGGAACCCTCGATGGAAGGGGAACCGCTTTGTGGGCTTGCAAAGCTACGGGGAAGAACTGCCCAGACGGAGCTACGGTAAGTTGTCATAGGTTTTTCCGGTATCATATATCACAGAAATACATATTAGTGAAAGACCAAAGTGCCCTCGTACAATATGGTTCTTAAGGGTTTTTTAGTAATTTTGTTATACTCCCTTTCTTTAACGGGTTAACTGCCCTCTAAATCCACGACTACGAGGTCCATGACTGGACCGGTGTTTAGTTTAGACTTTAGAATTGACTTTCGAAAGACACGAAAGTCAAAACCAAAAGATCAAGACCAAAAGTTTTGATTCGTTCAGTTGTTGGGGTCCACATTCAGAGCATTGAAAGGTGCTGATTTCACAATTGTAGGAAACAGTGTTACTAAGGGCAGCATAGTAGCCTGATCCAGTCACGATTCAACCACATCGTGTATTCACATTATAGGCACAGAGTCTGATCTAGTGTAGTTCCAGGGTTAGAAGCCTAGAAGTAGAATGCTAAATCCAACGGCTAGGCCGTCTGTGGCTCAGAAATCTACAAATTGAAGCTGACGTACATGGTTCCTGTGTGACTCTGCAGACTTTGACATTTGTGAACTCTAAAAACATCGTGATCAACGGATTGTCGTCGATCAACAGCCAGATGTTCCACATTGTGATCAACGGCTGCCAAAATGTGTTCATGGGAGGGGTGATGATCACGGCCTCCGGCGACAGCCCCAACACCGACGGCATTCATGTTCAGCTGTCGACGGGTGTCACGATCATGAGCACCGGCATCAAGACCGGCGATGACTGCATCTCGATCGGCCCCGGTACGACCAACTTGTGGATAGAAAACGTGGCATGTGGTCCCGGACACGGCATCAGGTGAATTTTTAGTTTTTACTATTTGCTTGGGTGGGCCGTGGGCGCTCATAAGCTCATTCCCGGTGAAAATACAATGAAAATCAACCGCACAAGATCATTTCCCTTCTAAAGAGGAAAAGACTAACGTGTGCATGGGTGCGCTTTGTTGCAGCATTGGTAGTCTTGCAAAGGATCTGAACGAACAAGGAGTGCAGAACGTGACAGTTAAAACCGTTATTTTTACGGGTACCCAAAATGGGGTGAGAATCAAGTCTTGGGGAAGGCCCAGCAATGGGTTCGTTAGAAAAGTGCTCTACCGAGATGTCTTGATGAAGAATGTCCAAAACCCCATTGTTATTGATCAAAATTACTGCCCTCGCAATGAGAGTTGCCCTGGTCAGGTACGGTCCTACAAGGGTATATTTGGAAAAACAATTACTTCTTTAGCCCACTTCAGGTTTACATTTTACAAGTGCAAAAGCAGGCCCATAGGCCCATAATATAATCTTCTGAGTTCTGATGAGCAGCAATATATTTAATTATTTATTGATTGATTCACAGGTTTCTGGCGTAAAAATCAGTGACATAACATACAAAGGAATCCACGGGACATCGGCAACTGCAGTGGCTATAAAATTTGACTGTAGTCGGACGAACCCCTGCAGAGGGATCAGACTAGAAGACGTAAAGCTCACCTATCCGAACCAACCGGCCAAATCGTCTTGTACCAATGTAGACGGTTCAGCTTATGGTTTGGTTGAACCATCGAGTTGTTTGTAGAACAAAAGCATATAAATATAAATATACATGTAGAGAGAGATTGAAAATTTGAAACTAAAGATTGTTCATGCCATGGATGAGTCTGGTTTTGGAGCCAACCCCATGATGCAAATTGTAATAGTAGTTACATATATATGTATACACAAATCTTGTGAAGTCGATTTTAGAAAACAAAAAGAAAAAAAAGAATTTATGAAGTTGTTGTTCTCTTTCCCCTTGATTATATTCCATCTATTTCCTGGTTTATAGATAAATAGGCTAAGTACCAAAGTAGAAGGTGGGAGCTGGTTCAACTGGTAAAGCATGATGAAGCAGTACTTCTCACATACATGGCTAGGCCCATGGAAGCCATTTACTTAGGCTGTGTTTGGTTTGAAAGAAAGGGAAAGATAGGGAAACCTATACAAGGTTTACCAAATACAGCCTTAATGACACACGGTCAAGCCTGTGATTGCCAAATTGTTCGCTTTTCCAAATTCCAGTCCAAAACTTTTGGAAATAAAAGTAGACCCATGATCCATTGCAACTTTAATAAAAGAATTTTTAGGGCTGGTGAATGTTAATTGGGCTTTAACTTATTAATGGGATGGGCTAAAATATGGGCTCCAACTTGGGTACATCCATTGGCTAAGGAGATCTATTTAGAATTGCTCTGTGAATAGATACAAAAATGCCTATAACCAGGTTGTATTGTATGTATAGACAACGGGACTGCATTTTTGAGCACTCAATTTTAACTCTTCTACTTCTTTGCAAGTAGATTATGATTATTTCTCTCTCTTGCTGACATAAATCAAACGAATGTCCAACTAGTGGATGACCAAAATGTGATAATGATGGTATGCTTAATAGATTCTTCAGTGCCTGAATGTATTTGGGCAATTGTTATACAATGTTAACACTTTATTTCTTCTATAAAAATAGTCCTGTGTCTCAGATCTCCATTGATATCTGTCTAAAAAGTTAAAATTCCTAAACTGGGTAGTGAGTAGAAGCTGTTTGTTCAGGATCCTATTGGCCAAGTAGGCCCAAGCTAGAGGTTTCCTTCTGTAAATTTGGAGAAATCATATGCACATTAGAATCGTAAGAAGCGAAGGGTATGTTACTTTATGTGAAGTCACTTTTGTTAAACAAAAGGAGGTATAATAATTTGCTTGTACGAAGTTTGAGAAGTCCCACATCGAGAAGAAAGAAGGGAAATGCGGAGGTGCAGGTGTTATAAATATATGGACCCATGAGGGAAAGATGTATGATCCTTCAGGCAGTTAACGGGATATGATGAGTGGTTAAAACTCGCTTGTTTACTGCGAGAGGAGTGTCCGCCCCAAGCCTGGTTACGACAAGCGGAGCACTCCGATATATACCAATCTGATCCCCATGTAATGCCTTTTTAATACGCAATGGCATCGGTGCCTCTTTCAAATTCTCGTTGGACCTCCTCTGACTACAAGGGTCCATGACACCCCCTCCCCCCCCCAACCTAGCCTCTTCTAAATCATTGGACATCTTCCTTCCTTTAGCATAATGTGACCCAACTCTTGGGTCTGAGCTTTTGGGCTACGGCTGGGCCAGGGCAAAAAAGCTTTGGTCTGACTTAAACTTCTAGTGGGCTTGGATTGAGGCCTTAATGTCATGCCCATATCATTTATATACACTTTATCTCCTACTTCCTGCCTCCTATATGAGTGTCTATATAGCTTAAGCTTCAGAAAATTCTGGTGGGGGGAAACTAATGATTCAAAAAAGGCAAAATGGATTTGGTGGAACCAGGTTTGTAAAAACAAGCAGGATGAAGGAGATTTATATGCCTTCAATTTGGTACCGTTGGCAAAAAACAAGCAGGATGAAGGAGATCTATATGCCTTCAATTTGGTTCCCTTGGCAAAGTTGGCTTGAAAATTGTTAAAAGCCAAATACTGATGACTTGGAGGATAGAAAGATATTAGAAATTGACATAATATGGAAGGTCAATAAAGGAGAAGGATTGATGTGTGGGCACCGTTTTCCAGTTTGCCGGTTCAACCGTTGTGGTCGAACGGTTTGACCCATGATGTCATAAATAAATAAAAAAAAAACAAAAATATTTATATATAATAAAAAATACTATAGAAATTTAAATAAAATATAAAAAATACATAGAAAAATACAGGAAAAATAACAACATATGAAAAAATAAAAATATTAAAATACAGAAAATACAAAAGAATACAGAAAAAATTCCAAAAAATACAGAAAATTACCATGTGGCTTCTTTTATATAAAATAAATAAAAGAAGTTATAATGACAAAAATACCCCTGCCACCAATATGAAAGAAAAAAAACCCGGCACAACTAGCTAATGACAGAAAAATAACATCAATAATAGATAAACAAATGGGACCACAAACTAATCAGCCCTTTTCTCAAAATTGTGCTTTCACCTCCAATTTAGCTAGAGTAAGCCAAGGGATTAACAGCCCTCAAAATCCATTGAGTCTTCGACGTCTTCATTCATGGACTGAATCAGACGGATCAGAAATGAGAGTTTTTTCTGTCATATTGATGGGTGATGACATGACAGATCCAAAACATTCAGCCTCATCAGACATCATTCCCCCAGCAGAATGGGCAAAGTAGATATTGTAAAAGTGACGGAGGAAGGCTTGAGGATCCTTCTCTGATAAGTCTTCAAGATAATGAGCATAAGATAACCCAGGAGATGATGGCTCTGGAATGATATGGCCTTGCTCCTTGAACCACTCCAAATCCTTGGTTAATTTCTTAGACCTTTCCAAACCAGTATTTCTGAAATCGGTATCTGAAACAAAGCAACAAGAAGGCTTAGAGACACAAGAAATATATGGTATGTAAATTTAATAAGTTTCAAGAATTGGAGTATCTTCTTGGTGAGATAAATACCCTACATAGATCAGGCATCATCATTCACCCCCAGCCTTACCAGGCATCATCATTCAACCCAACTATAGCTATCTATTCTGCACATCTCTAAAGTCAACAAGTTTCAAAATATCTTTTTGTTAGGAAAAATTTGAGGTGGGGAGGGTGAATGTGGGATTCAATCCCAGGTTAATAGGAAATACATCTTATGACTTTACCAGATGAGCCAGCTGCACCTTCACAATCAGAAAAATCATTCATGAAACCTAGGTAAAGATAACTTAATTTGGCACTTCCATTCCAAAAAGTGTTTTCAACAACTGGAGTTCTAGGCAAATTAACTACTATCGAACTTGTGAAACCAAAACGAGTCAAGGAAATGTCCAATTACAACCCTTTGGATAAACGATTGCTTATGCTAATATTTGACTAAATGTTCAGAAGCTGTACAAATATGATAATTTCTAATCCCTTGATGACTTAAATCTTGGAATCTGCATAACAGCTTCTACCTACATCATACATGCACGTGTATTTATGCCATAGTTRTCTGTATCAAGAAAACAAACTACCAGAGATACCACGTATTTGAATGAACTTCTTTTACCAAATAATACTGAAACCTCTGACCTTATTGACAAGCCTCACAATTATCTCTTTCAGGACTCTATCATTTGCCTCCTCTAAGGTAATACCGATTCATCAGGATTTGGAGAATGCATCTACAGAATAACTTCAACCTGTCTTCAATATGAGGGTTTCCATAAAAATCTTCTGTTCTAATGATAAAATACCATAGGTCCAACTCTCCAAGTATCCAACCAAACTGATGACATATATGATTATTAACAGAAAATGTCAGAGCAGAAATTAATTTAAATTTTGAATTTAATCAAAACTTCAATTCATTAGCTATCTTTAACATATGAGTTTTTAAAACTTAAAAGGGTAAGAAATGAACTTACGAGTCAACGATAATGATGTTGGAACCTTTGTTAATTTTCTTGAGGTACGAAATCTTCAGAGCAGCTATTGTTGAAGTGGATAGACTGGAAGAAAACTCTCAATTATGAGAAGAAGATAGAAGAAGGAGAACTAAGACCACAATGGAGTTTGATAAATTATCATTCCAAGAGGAAATTAAATGGAGGCAGAGATCAAAATGCTTGTGGCTGAAGGAAGGTGAGTTACAATAACCTCCCTGATACAAAAATACTTCTGATGGGTGACAATAACCTCTTCGAAAAAAAAAAAAAGAAACAAATACTTTTGATGAGTTACAATAACCTCCCTGATACATATAACTTTCCACAGGTTTCATTGCAAATTTTCCATACAAGAATACCCAAATTCTAATATCACCATCTCAAATGTTATCAACTTGTTACAATTTTGGATCTACATCTTTTTCTTTTTTTATAAATTTTTTCGAGCAAAAAATTCAAAAAAAATTAAGCAAGATTAAATAAACAAAGAATTAAGCAAATCAATTAAAAAATCAATTAAATCATAAAAAATTCAGAAAACAAAAAATTATACCTTTAGGGTTTCACTGTTGAATGCCGGTAATGGTGGTGTGGCAGTGGGTTTGCCGCTGGTGGGCACAGGCAGTCAGGCTTGGTTGCAGGCAAGTTGCCGTTGCAAGCCTGCAAGTGCTGCTCCAACTCGCAGACAGTGGGCTTGCTTGCCAATGCCCAATGTTGAGTGTTGAGTGCCACTGCAAATTTGTCGGACAACTGCTGCAAGCTTGTGGTCTGCCGCTGCAAGTGCTGGTGAGTCTTTTCAGTTTTCGCCGTCGGACGCCACTGCAAGTGCTGGTGAGGGTGAGTCTTTTCGTCACTGCAAGCTCGTTACTCACCGTCGGTCGGTGTGTGTCGCTGTCAAACGCCGGAGGTGATGGCTGCCACAGGTGGTCGATCGGTAGGGTGTGAGGGTTGAGAGGATTGAGGAGGGGACTCGGGAAGGGTTAGAAATTCTAACCCTAAAGCTAAAGGGAGTAAGGGATTCGAACTGGGTTGGGATATAATAGGTATTTTATTTTTTGGTTTTTGTATTTAAAACATTGAAAATAAAAATACTAACCTGTGAACCGCTAACCGGGTCAAATAGTTTAGCGGTCCGATCGCCTGGGTCAACGGTTTTCTGACATTTTCAA